AAAGGCGCAAAGCTACACAGAGAAACCCTGTCTCGAAAAACCAAAAAAAAAAATTTACAGAGACCTGCCTGCCTCTGCCTTCTAAATGCTAGGATTAAAGTGCTGTGGGATGTCCTGTATGCTGTAAATATATGTTGCTATGATTGATTGATAAATAAAACGCTGATTGGCCAGTAGCCAGGCACGAAGGATAGTGTAGGTGGGACAAGGAGAGAGGAGAATTCTGGGAAGTGGAAGGCTGAAGCAGAGAGAGGCTGCCAGCCGTGGCCATGGGGAGCAGGATGTAAAGTACCAGTAAGCCACGAGCCATGTGGCAAGGTATAGATTTATAGAAATGGGTTAATTTAAGATATAAGAACAGCTAGCAAGAAGCCTGAGTCATTAGGCCAAACAGTTTAAATAATATAAGTCTCTGTGTGTTTGCTTGGGTCTGAACGGCTGCGGGAGTCAGACAGAAACAGGATAACTTCAGCTACAATGTACCACCACACCTGGCTCCACTTGGCTTTTTAAACAAGGACCATGAATGTAAAGAAGTGACAATGATTCTGGTTTGTAGAGATCTCAGAAGTTAAAAAGAAGAGGTGTGTTAGCGGGCAGTGGTGGCGCACACCTTTGATCCCAGCACTCAGGAGGCAGAGACAGGCAGATCTCTGTGAGTTCGAGGCCAGCCTAATCTACAGAGTGAGATCCAGGACAGCTAGAGCTGTTACACAAAAATGCCCTGTCTCAAAAAACAAATAAACTTACAATCAAACAAAAAAAGAGGTGTGGTTGTTTGGTAGTTAAGAGAAATACACTTTTGAAAGAAAAAAATCTTGTCTCCAGGGGTTGTTGTTGGATGGACACTATGCTCGTTAAAGAAATGCAAGCCGGGCGGCGGTGGCACACACCTTTAATCCCAGCATTTGGGAGGCAGAGCCAGGCAGATCTCTGAAAGTTCGAGGCTAGCCTGGGCTACAGAGCAAGATCCAGGTCAGGCACCAAAACTACACAGAGAAACCCTGTCTCAAAAAAAAAAAAAAAAAAAACAGCAACAACAAAAAAGAAAACTTGGGTTTGGGGAGATGGCTGGGTTGGTAAAGTGCCTGCTGCACAAGTGTGAAGGCATGAGTGTAGATCCCCAGGAGCCAGGTTAAAAAACTGGGCGTTGATGACATGCATCTTTAACCCCAGCCTGTGCAGGAAGAAATGCAAGGCTCCCTGGACCTAACTGGTCAGCCAGTGTAGCCAAATCAGTGAGCTACAGCTTCAGGGAGAGACCCTGCCTTAAAATAAAGGTGAGAGTGGGACTGTTGACGTTGGCTTTGGCTTCTACACACGTACACACCCATCCACAGACACATATGCATACATGCACACAGAGGGAAGGACATGGAAACTTTATTAGCACCATTACAATTAGAAATATAACTTCATTTTTATGTTCCCTTAAGCTGAGTAATTTTCAAATAAAGACTTTCCCATGATGCAATTTTAGTGAACTCAAGATCTGTTGGGACAGATAATTTAGTGACAGAAAAGTCACTTTCAAAGAAGCAAGAACAGGAATATCTCCTTTCCGTGGTGTGCCTCTGATTTAATCTTGCTGAAGTATGCCTACAGACATTATCTCAGCAGGCCAATCCATAATTAGAGTTCTAATTTTCTCCCAGGCACTTTCTCCTGAATTGTTCAAGGAACCCAATGAGAGGGGCCTTTAACACCATGGTAATGGTCCTAGCCCTCCCTGTTCAGTGCCAGCATCCTACTGAGGAGTGTGTGGGAAGTAGGAAGTTGCATAGTACTGAGGGAGAAGAGCAACCACATGACCCTTAGGCTTGCGTACAAATTTCTGTGGCTCCGAAGGTTATCTGGGAAGACCCTCAGAATCCCCGTCAACTTTCTTTGTAGATACTTTCCTTTTAAGCATCTGTCTCAGAGAAAATGTGACTTGGCCACCAGAGTATCTGAAATATGATAAAGATAACACTAAGTGAGGGACTAGAGTGATGGCTTGGTGGTTAAGAGCAGTTGCTGTTCTTGCAGAGGATCAGGGTTCAGCTCCCAGCACCCACTCCTATTCTAGGGGCTCTGATGGCTTCTTCTGGACTCCATAGGCACGAGGCTTGCATGAAGTGCACAGACATATATGCCAGCAAATAAAAATAATACAAAGAAAACAAAAAGTAGCAGAGCAGTAGAAGCTTTTAATCCCAGCACTCGGGAGGCAGAGGCAGGCGGATCTCTGTGAGTTTGAGGCCAGCCTGGTCTACAGAGCGAGTTCTATGACAGCCAGGGCTATTATACAAAGAAACCCTGTGTCAAACCCTCCCACCCCCCAAAAAAAGAAAAGGAAAAAAGAAAACAAAAAGTAAATTGAACAGCCTTTATGTGACTTCCATTGAAGCAAGAACAAATTAAGAGATCATGAGATCAAAAGGCAAAGGACAAAGGACATATGTCACCGTGGGTTTTTATAACTCTCTGTCTTAGAGTATTCTGACTAATGCCTTCCCTCTCTGTCATGCTTCCTGACCTGGGGTTTCTATTGCTATGATAAAATACCAATGGCCTAAAGCAACCTAAGGAGGAAAAGTGTTTCTTTCATCTTATACTTCCAGCTAACAGTCCATCACTGAGAGAAGTCAGGGCAGGAACCTGGAGACGGGAGCTGATGCAGAGGCCATGGAGGAACACTGCTTATTGACTTGCTTGTTCCTCATGGCTTTCTCAGTTTGCTTTTTTATACACCCTGGGGACCATCCACTCAGGGCTGCTCCATCCACGTGGGCTGGGCCCTCTTACGTCAGTCATTAATTAAGAAAAACTTTGCACAGACTTTCCCACAGACCAATAGGGTAGGGGCATTTTCTCAAAATGGTCTCTCTCTCCAAATGATTAGCTTTTGTTAAGTTGACATGAAACTAGCCAGCACAGTCCCTCTAATAACACACTCCACCAATTCCTTAATCAACTGAGTTCTCAAGTCATAGATGTTTGTTTTTTAACATGAGGTCTCAGGTAGACCTTGAACTCCCTATGCAGCTGAGGAAGCCTTTGAACCAATGATACCCCTGCCTCTACTTCCCTAGTGCTGGGATTACTGGTGTGCACCACCATGCCTAGAACCCTGTATGCTAGGTAAGCACTCTAGCGACTGAGCCCCAGCTCCAGCCCTCGGTCCATTATTACACCTGTTCCTGCTCATCTTGAGCATCCTTAGACGCTACACTCAGGGATGCTATACATTGAGATGCTTATTTGATTTTACTTGGTTACTTTCAATTTACCTACTTCTAAAACTAGCTTGAGATGCATTGAAATAGCAAGACACTCATGACAGAGGGAGTACAGATTTAGAAAAGGAAGCCAAGATTATTTAAAACGTCAATCAAGAGGGGACTGCTTATGTAATTAGAAGAAGAATCACCCTTTCTCACCCTCTTTCTCTGCCAGGGAGTAGAGGGAGGGTCAGTCTACACTAATTGTTTAATTAGGCCAAGGGTAAAGAGAAAGGACAAATTTAAAGGTGGCTGTTTATGTAAGTCAGTCATGGGTATAAAGGGGTGGGTGGCTGAGCCAGGCATGGTGCTCATGCCTATGATCTCAGCTCTTGAGAAGTGGAGGCAGGAGGATCAGAATTTCAAGGTTACTACACATGATATGAAATTTCTCCCTGTTAGTTCTCTCTCTCTCTCTCTCTCTCTCTCTCTCTCTCTCTCTCTCTCACACACACACACACACACACACACACACACACACACACACACTCACACCCCTTTCTCATTTTGAAGACGTAAGCTCCATGACACAAGTAGCCAGGTGGTAAGAATTCTGGGTAGTCCTCCTGCAGCTGAGGAAAACCTATCATGAGACACAAAAACCTTTAATTCTGGGGCTGCAAGGAAATGAGTTCTTCCAGCTTCAGACGGGAGCCTGGCAGCTGCTCCTTCTATAAGCATGTTCTAAGGAGGCTTCAGCCTCAGTTCACACCTGCACTGTAAGTTGGTGAGGCCACTGTTGGGGAATATTATTTGAAGGTGTGTTACTTTTGTTTATGTTGCATTTGTTTAACTCTGTGAAGCTGTGTTACTGTGCCTGCCTAAAACACCTGATGGGCTAATAGAGATCTGAATGGCCAATAACAAGGCAGGAGAAAGGATGGGCAGGGCTGGCAGGCAGAAAGAATTAATAGAAGGAGAAATCTGGGAGAGGAGAGATCTAGGAGTGCGAGAAGGAGGAGGACATTGGGCCCAGCCAACAATGGGGTAAGAAAGAAAGGTATACAAAAATAGAGAAAGGGAAAAGCCCAGAGGCAAAAGACAGACGGGTTAATTCAAAATTAAGAAAAGCTGGCAAGAGCTGGGCAATGGTATCGAGCGCCTTTAACCCCAGCACTCAGGAGGCAGAGGCAGGTGAATCTCTGAGTTCGAGGCCAGCCTGGTCTACAAAGTGAGTTCCAGGACAGCCAGAACTGTTACATAGAGAATAGAGAACCCTGTCTCGAAAAACCAAAAAAAAAAAAAAAAAAAAAAAAGCTGGCAAGAAACAAGCCAAGCTAAGGCTGGGCATTCATAATTAAGAATAAACCTTGGCAGGCCCCCCAAAAGAGCAAAAGCAATAAACAACAGGCCACAAGACGGAAAACCCAGGCCACATCCAGACTTTTGAGCTACAGGAACTTCACAGAAATAACTGTGTATTGTTGGTAGCTACTAAGGCTTAGTATTTTGTTACAATCTAATAAGAAAACAACACACCCTGAAAGGTCATAGCCTTTTTGGATACCAAAAAATAACCCAAATCAAATGAAAAACCGGGAGAAACAGGTCAGAGGCATTGCATGGAGTGAAAATTCAGATTTTGTCATGTTAAATTTTAGCTTCCTATTAGATATCTGAGTAAGATGTCAAGCAGGCAATTAGAAATGTAACCCTGGAGTTTCAGGGAGAGGCAGAACTAGAATATAATTTTGGGAGTCATCAGAGGATGACATTTAAAGCCTGACACTGGATGAGTTCATACAGAGAATGTGAGGCAGGAAAAGGGAGCACTCAGACTGAGCACGAGATCTCACCAACATGGAGCCTTTGGTTGGAAGGTAAGAGAAGTAGCCAGAGAGGCAGGAGACCAAGAGACTGGAGCACCTTGAGAAGCAGGAAAAGGCAAATGGTATTGTGATGAGATAGCAACGGACGAAAGCAACGTCAGGAAGCATTGATATGGCTCACAGTCTGGGGGGATACAGTCCGTCATGGTGAGGAAGGCGGCAGTGGGGATGCAAGGGGACCAGTCACGGTGTGTCCATGGTCAGAAAGCATGCAGAGATTAGTGCTGACCTTCAGCCCACTTTTTCCTTTTTGTTTCAGTCCAGGACTCCAGCTCATGAGATGGTACAACCTAAATTCAGGGTGGGTCTTCCTCAGTTAAACCTCTCTGGAGATGCCCTCATAGATGGACCTAGAGTTGTGTCTCCTACATGATTTCAAAGACAGCCAGGTTGGCAATGAACATTAATTATCATATTAATTCTCCCCCCTCTCTCTCCATCATACTAAGTAATTCCCTCTATTGACTTCTCTCTCTCCTTCCCTCCTTCCTTCTCCTTCTCTTCATTATTTTTTCCTCCCCTCCCCTCCCCTGTCCTCTCCTCTGCTCATCTGTCTGTCTGTCTGTCTGTCTCTCTTTCCCTCTCTCTCTCCCTCTGTCCTTGAAAGTCTGCCACTACACTGTGAGGAATCTTAGGCCCCATGGAGAGGTACGCCTGAACTTTCTGGATGGGTCTTCTCAGTTAACCCTGCCTGGAAATGTCCTCACACAAGTGCCTAGAGGCATGTCTCCTAGGTGATTCTAAATCAAGTCAACCCGACAATAGAAATTAGACATCATAATGTCTGTGTTAGAAGTTGTTGAGAGGTTAAACGGTCTGAGGCTGAACAAGCCACCACTATTTGGCCAGGTGGAGGTCCGTGCTGTCCTAGATGAAACTAGTTTCAGTGGACTGGTGTGATGCAATTGAGTTAGGGATGGATGAGGAAGAGCGCAAGGTGAAGGGCTAGTAGGGATGGGCAGGAACAATCTGAAAAGTTTTATTTACTCTTTGTTCTGAAGACAGAAGGATATGGCAGAGCCTGGAGGAAGATACAGATAGTTTTTTGTTTTTGTTTTTAAGATGAGGGATTTGGAGGATTCTGAGGCGTGTTTGTCCCTGATGGAAGCTGTTCAATAGTGTGGGGGGGACCTATGATGGAAGAGAGCGAGGGAGGAGTTGCAAATACAAGACCATAGTGTAAAAGGAGGGAGAGATTAGATCTCAATGGGAGAGTTAGGCTTAGGGCTAGGGATCAGTCTACTGCTAAACAATAGATGTCGTGCATGGATATAGATGGGGAGGGGGTGGCAGATCAGGCTATGGAAAAGTGACAACCTTCCTGGCTGTTATAATGAGTAGCAACACACCACACAAGGTCTTCTGCTGAGAGAAGGGGGTAGGAATGGTGTTGAAAGTTTGAGGAGACCTTAAAGTGGATGTCTCCAGGACATCTCCACCCCAGTAAAGAGCTGCGGGACCATGGAGAGCTTCGATCTCGTTTAGATTTGTACTTAGAATTTAAAGTAAAACCAGTCCAGGTAGTAAGATAAGAATCAATGGAGTGAACCAGGCTAAGCAATAGTTTTCAGCATCTTGGCTGCATAGGTAGATCTGAATGTGCCCTGCAAATACAGGGGGAGGAAGGCAGGGTCAAGAAATTAAGCTGAGGGGCTAGGGATGTGCTCAGTTGATAGAACGCTCACCTAGCATGCCCAAAGCCCTGAACTGATGATTCCCAGCACTACATAAACCAAGTATGGTGACATAAGCCTGTGATCTCAGCACCCTGGAAGTGGAAGTAGGGAGATCGGGAATTCAAGGTCAGCCCAGCTGCAGAGCCAGTCCAGCCTATGTGAGCTACAGTCTTGAAAATAAATGAGGGGCTGGAGAGATGGCTCAGCGGTAGAGAGCACTGACTGCTTTTCCAGAGGTCCTGAGTTCAATTCCCAGCAACCACGTGGTGGGCTCACAACCACCTGTATTGAGATCTGGTGCCATCTTTTGGCCTGCAGGGACACATGCAGGCAGAACACTGTATACATAATAAATAAATGAATCTTTAAAAAAAAGAAAAGAAATGAACAAATAAATAATTGTTGCAATTGGGAGGTGGAGGCAGGAAAATGAGAAGATCAAGAGCAGCCTGGACTACAGAGCAGGACCCTGTCTCAAAAGGAAGTAATGCCTGGGCCTGCCGGCATAAGCTTATAATCCCAGACTCAAGCCAGTCTCTGTCAGCTCATGGCCAATCTGGTCTACATAGTGAGCTCTAGGCTCTCCGGGCCTGTATGGGAGATCCTGTCTCAACAAAATGAATGTTTCCTGTGAACAAGTTGGCATACTTGGAGGAAGTGTGGGTACAGAGGTCAAGCCGGGATAGAGTCAGCAGATTAGGGATCTCAATTGGTCAAAAGAAATGTCTAGAGTAGGGACTGGAATTCAGATTGGGAGGGAAGGGTGGTGGTCAGAGGAGACTTTGGGAGGAGGTGCGTTGATGGATAAGGACAGCTGTTCAGATCGGTGTCCCTTGACCTCATCGACCTTCTGAACCTTTGAAATCTTCAATGCTCATGACTCACACAGACCACAGTCTCCAATTACTTAAGCACATTCACTCTCTCATTCCTAAAATAGTGGAATCACATAATTCATGTTTTTAACTAATGTAAATTTGGTTCTACAGTCTGGGGGGAGGGGATAGAAACAGGAGAGAGCACAATTTAAATAGCACAGTTAGTTGCCTGACTGCTTCTCTGCTCCAGGGCGTGTGGGGAGGGAGGATGTGGTGGGAACCGTGGAAGTGCCATCTCCTGGGCTGACTCAGGGCCCTTGAACCTCTTACTGTCTGAGCCTAACCTCTAAAGAGTCCTCTCTTTCTTGTCAATATGGTTTCTAAAAATGGGACAACTACTTCATTTGCCGGTCCACAACGGAATTCCAGGTTAATGACAGTTATGCAGTTCCTACTGAAAAACATGCTGGATGTTTGGACAAATGGCATTTTTGCTTGTTTGTTTGTTTTTAACAGTGTCTCGTGTAGCCCAGATTGGCCTGGCACTCACCAAGTAATCCAGGCTGAACCTGGTAAGTAGCAGAATAACCTTGAACAACTTTTCTATTTTTGTTTTGTTATGGGGTCTCACTGTGTAGCCCTGGCTAGTCTGGAACTCTCTATGTAGACCAGGTTGGTCTCAAACTGACAGATCCACATGCCTCGACCCACATGCTGAGGTTAAAGGCATGTGCCACCACACTCTGCTAGGGAGGAGAGTTCTAACGAGGAAATATCTAGATGAGACTGGGCTGTGGGCAAGTCTGTGTGTGTGTGGGGGGGGGTTGTCATAAGTGTTAGTGATATAGGAAGACCCAGTCCATTTGGAATGGCACTATTCCCTAGACAGAGAGACCTGAACAGCATAAGAGAGGAGAAAGCTAGCTGAGAGGGAGCAGGCAAGCATCCATACGCTCACTCTCTTTGCTCTTGACTATGGATGTGATATGACGAGTTACTTGATTTCTTGCCTGGACTTCCCTGAAATAATGGACTGTGACCTGGAATCATAAGCCAAACAAGCCTTTTCTTCCCTTATGTTACCTTTTCCAGGGTATTTGTCACAACAGATATGAAACCAGAACAGTAAGTTACCCATCCTGCTTTGTGTCTGAATTTATGATTAAGTCTCTTTCTCTAAATACTGGAGAAAAAAAATACTGAGAGGCAGGATGCGATTAAATCCGAGCCCAGTCAAGCCACTGGGAGGGGAGTGTGGAGTACAGAGAGATCAGATGTGAGAAACGAGATCACACCACAGGCAAGCTGAGGACTGAGCCGTTTCAGAATTTAGCCTAATGCTTTTACAGGGTGAATTGATTCTACCATTCTGTCTGATTCAGAGACCATGGGGAGAATAAAAGGTTGCTTTGATAGAATTAGAGAATGTAGAGAGACTATTTAATGGAGCGCCAACAAGGCTTGAATAGATTTTCTTTTTTTAAACATTTTTTTTTGCACAAGTAGAACATGTTTATTGTAGAAAAAAATCTAATTCAGAAGAGAAAAACAACCCAAGAACCTTGTAATCACACTTCACAGAGACAACCATTATTAATATTTTGCAGCAAATCCTTTAATTTCAACTCTCTCTCTCTGAACACATACCACATGCATTTATTCTAACAAATGGACTTGCATTGAATATAGTGTATTATAACCTGATTTTTTAAAGGCTAAGGTTTATTTTTATGTATGCATGTGTGTGGGTGTTTCCTCTTGAGTGCAGTGCCCTTGGAGTCCAGAAGTCTGATTCTGGATGAGAACCTCCAAAACTGGGAGTTAAAGCAACCCTTTTTCCCTTGCAAGTGAGTCAGTCATTCCCACAACTGCAGGGCAGGAACCTAGCACTGATTTCCACAGTGGTCACGTGCAGACATCAGGCACAGTAAAGGGCTGTACTTAGAACGCTCCAAGCCAGGCTGCTTGTTGGAATCACCTGGGAGCTTTATTTATCACCATATTTTTTTTCAGACCCAGGGATGGAAACTGGGGCCTCGTGCATTCTATGTACAAGGAATCTACAACACTGAAAGTATGTATTAATTCATGTTGTATTAGTACATTACATACTAATAGTAAATATGAGATGTTTATATATAAATGAATTAAATGCAGACTTAGTTAATTTTTAGATAGGTGTGATGACTCACAACTATAATTCCAGCACTTGAAAGGCTGAGGCAGGAGGATCAGGAGTTCAAGGATAGCCTGGACAAGATAGACCCTTTTGAGGGGGGAGGGAAAGACGGCTCAGCTATCAAAGGCATTTGCTGCTCTTGAAGAGGACCCAGGTTCAACTCCCAGTACCCATATGGTAGCAAACAATCATCCACAACTCTGCTCTCGATGGGTACCAAGCACACTCTGATGCACAGACATACATGCAGGTAAAGCAGTCGTGCACAAAATTAATAAATCTAATCTAAAAATGAGAAAGGCAGGGCCTGTCTCAAACAACAACTAATGAGCTACCATAGCGTAGCACCAGACATACAAATGCATGGCTTAATGAATTATTTAAAGGTGCACTCATCCAGATTGAAACAATGAAACCACCAGACATGCTGGAAACACCTTGGGATAAGCAATCAAACTTCAACTTCCCCTCTTTCCAAAAATAAATGCCATTCTATTACACTTCTCACTTTCTTTATGATTTTTTTCACCCAAATGTGCATCTTGGCACTGTAGTTCAGTCTTTCCCACTAAAATGTGTATCTACTAAGGCTGAGGAGATGGCTCAGTTGGAAAAGTGTGTGCCCTGTAAACATGAGGACCTGAGTTAGATTTCTAGCACCCAGGTAAAAAAACGGGCTTTGAGTGTGAGCACCACAGAGTTAGAGACAGGGGCATCTCTGGTGCTCACTGGCCAGACAGCCTAGTCTGACCTGGGAACTCCAGGCCAATGACAGACAAGAAGATAAAGTCTAAAAACAAACGATTTCTAAACATTTATTTGTGAGTGTGTATATGGAGCGTGGGTGGGTGGGGGGGGTAAGGTGCACAGGCCGTGATGTGCTGTGTGTGTGTGTGTGTGTGTGTGTGTGTGTGTGTGTGTGTGTGTGTGTGTGTGTATGGAAATCAGAAGACAACTTGCAGGAGTTTCTCTCCTTCCACCGCGTGGGGTCTGGGGCTTGAACTCAGGTTGTCAGGCTTGGTGGAAAATGCTGTTACCCAGTACTCTGGAGGCCGATCTCTTTGAGTTCAGGGTCAGCCTGATTTTCATAGGGAGTTCCAGGTCAGCCAGTACTACATAATGAAACTCTATCTCAAAAACAAAACAACAATAACACCAAACAAACAAAGAAACAAAACCCAAATAAACAAAAAACCCCTGTACTACATACATATTGTCAGAGCACACAGCCTTTATGAGTATAGTACATCTTAGCCCTCACTGTTTGTGACTCTGCAGGAAACTGCAGAGCGACTATCACTTGTCCTTGCATACATGTCTCTGCAGTCATTTTTATACGCTGTGGTAGTTTGAATGTAATTGGCCGCCACAGGCTCAGAGGGAGTGGCACTATTGGGAGGTGTGGCCTTGTTGAAATAGGTGTGGCCTTGCTGAAGTAGGTGTGGCCTTGTTGAAATGGGTGTGGCCTTGCCAATATGGCCTCTAGCTGTATCACAGACCATGAACATCCCATGGCCTTTGGTGGTCACATGGGCTACGAACATCAACATGCCTCCCCCTCTCCCTCACCCCTCCACTGGTCACAATAGGGTCACAGACACCAACAGGGTACTTGACAGCTGTATGGACCACGGACCTCAACATGGCCTCAGGCAGTAGCACAGGCCACACACATCAACATGGCCTCTAGCAGCAACATGGACCACAGATCCCAACATAGCCCAAGTTGACAGCATGGACTATGGACATCAACATGGCTTCAGGTGGTAGCACAGACCCCAGGCATTCCCACAGCCTTCGGTGGTAACAAGGGCCAAGGACATCAACATGGCCTTCATTGGTAACTCAGACCATGGATATCAACAGGGCCTTAGAAGCACTGGCCACAAATATCAACATGACCTCTGGTGGCAACATGGTGTGTGTGTGTGTGTGTGTGTGTGTGTGGGACAGCAGGGATCACAGACACCAGCACATCCCCCAGCTACGCCATGGATCACAGATACCAGCATGATTTCCGATGGCAGTGTGCACCATGGAGGGCTTTCAAGGAGGCCCGATACAGAAAAAGGACTGTTCTCCATCTTGGACATAACTACTGCTGCTCGGCTGCTCGGCACCAGACTGATTGTTCTGCTGGCCCGTGTCTCTGTCTCTGTCTCTGTCTGTCTCCGTCTCCCTCTCCCTCTCCCTCCCTCCCTCTCTCTCTCTCTCTCTCTCTCTCTCTCTCTCTCTCTCTCTCTCTCTCTCTCTCACACACACACACACACACACACACACACACACACACACACACACTTCCCAACCTCCCAAACAGCTTTACATGCCTTTACATGCAAATACTCATTGCATTGCAAGGAGTCATTTGGTCTGGTTCAAGGTTTCTGAAGCACCATAAATACTGGCCCATCACTGAGACTCATCTTGATATCCTGCTGTTGCCCAAAGTGTGGATGATCTTGAGGCTAGGCAGGGCATCTGGGGGCAGGTTCTGCAAGAAAGCTCCAGAGCTCACCAAGCTGTGCTTGTAGCTTCAGCGCTGCCCAGCATTCTCCTTCTCCCAGCATGGCAAGCAGCAGGCAGCAGTTCCATGCTGCGGGCGGGCGGTCCCTCCGGCCGAGGACCAGCTATATGCATTAATGCCATGTTCTTTGTCCGCTGGGGCCGCGCTCCCCTATCACTCTCATGCCCTTCCTCACTTTGGAGTTTCACCTTTCTCCCCTGCCCACGCTGCTCTCTCTGTTCAGTCCTTGTTCCTTCTAATTTCGTGAGTCAACTTTGCCCCGCCTGCAGGGCTTCAACGGGTTCTCGACCACCCTAAGGACGGAATGATAGAGACAGGAGATACAAGGAAACACACCAAGTCTAGATTCTGATCAAGGTGCAACTTTATTTTTCTCCAAGAGGGTTTATATAGTTTCTGCAGGGTGGGGGGAGCAAGAAGCTGTCATCTGCATAAGGTGGGGCAAGCTATCAGGATGTTTGTATAGGATGTTTACAGGGTGAAAGGGTCAAGGGCTCTGCCTCAATGTCCTGTTGCTAGGCAACCTGACTGTAAGATGATCTAGTTCCCTGTCTTATGGGGGTCTGTACTTTTCCACTAACTAGAGATTCTATCCTTGTCCCTGACACAACTTTTTTTTTCTCCCCATTTTTTTTTCGAGACAGGGTTTCTTTGTGTAGCCCTGGCTGTTCTGGAACTTGCTTGACACTGCTAGGATTAAAGGCATGTACCACCACCAGCCAACCGTGAGTCCACTTTTTAAAATGCACCTTCCCACAGGACCTGCCCTTGTCTAGTTGTTCGGGGGACTCCTCCTCCGCCACCTCTTTGTCTCCCCTTTGAGCCTCAGTGGGTTTCTGAGGCTCCTCGGAGCGGCACTGACGTCTCACGGCTGGTTACCGATGGCTGCTGCCATCTTCAATCACATCTTCAGGTTTTTATCTTTGATGCCAGTGACGTGCTCCCAGATCTGGTTCGGCAGGACCGCTTCTCCACGTGCTCCGGCAGCTCGTAGATAAGAGCTGGGGTAGACCAACTCGAAGCCATGGATCTGGGCCGGGATAGCATCGGAGCTGACCAATTCCGCTGCTATCTGGGCCTAGATCCAGGGCTTCCCCGCCACCTGAGAAGGTGCGGGACTTCTGGGCGGCCTCCAAAAATCGGATTTTCTTTTAAATAATTTTAACTTAAAAAAAATTAAAATATAGTTTCATCATTTCCCCCTTTCTCCCTTCAACCCCTCTCATATTATACCCCCCCCCTCTTGATTCATGGCCTCTTTTTCTTAATTGTTATAATTAAATAGACAGGCATAAATGTACAAATGCAACCTGCTCAGTCCATTCAGCATAACTTGTATGTATGTGATTTCAGGGCTGACCACTTGGATAACCAAGTAGGAGACTTGTCCCTGGAGTAGATGAATTCTCTGTTCTTCTGTGGCTCTTTGTTTGGGGTGGGCCTCCATGAGAGTTCCTGCTTCCATGCTAGCCTGCCTATTGGCTTCGTACTCGTTCAGGCGTGTTCAGGCAGCCATATTATTGAGGCATCTTTGGTGACGCTTCCCTGTTATTTCTTGGATCTGTTGAATCTGTTGCCATAGACCATCAACCATCCTAACACCCTAATTTTAGTTTTCTTTAAAGTCCGGTAGGGAGGGGGTACAGGATGGAGCGATGGCTCAGCAAGTTAAGATCATTTGCTGATCTCTTCCAGAGGACGGACCTAGGTTTGATTTCCTGTGCCAACAGGGCAGTTCACATCTGTCAGTAACTCCAGTGCCTGCTGCCCTCTTCTGGCCCCTGTGGGCACTGCATACATGTGGTGCATGGACATACTTCCTCACAAAGATGTATAAAGTAAATTAAATAATTTTTTTTAACTCAAATGAAGAACACAGAGATGGTTCAGTGTGCAAAGGCACTTCTGCCAAGCCTGAAGACCAGAGTTTGGTTCCTGGGACCGACACAGCAGAAGAGAACTGACTCCTGCAAGTTGCCCTCTGGTTCCAACACATATGCCTTGGCACTGTACCCTACTACCACAAAGTAAAAAAATATATACTATGTAACTTTTTAAAAGTCACATTTTTTCCCTCTAGACGCCCAGAGATTTTTTTTTCCATTTTCCTTAAAGTCCAATAACATTAGAATACATTGGAGTGAGTACTGGATGTTTGGGGTAAATAACTTCATCTATTTAGATCTCTCTTTACAAAGACACTTCCAAATCTTTTTTATTTTCAGCAAAGTTAAGTTTCTGTTTGTTCGTTTGAGGTAGGGTATGGCTATTTGTCCCAAACTGGCTCAGGCTGGCCTTAGGCCTCCATTATCCTCCTGCCTCAGCCCCTGGGGTAGCTGGGAGTGCAGGCCCACGCTAGCATATCTGGAAAGAATTAGCATTTATTCTGCATCTGTGCCTTGTTTCTGTCCTTTAGAGAGTTCTACTACCTGGCTATAAAACACCTTTGTCTTTCATTTTGGTATTTTTAAGTTTTTAAAACGGTGTTACTGTGTACACACTCGCCCTGACCCAGTGTGGAGGTCAGAGGGCAGTTCTGTGGGCTCTGTTCTCTGCTCCACCCTTTTGTAGGGCCCAGGGATTGAACTCAGGTAGTCGGGCCTTCACAGTAAGTCCTTTCCCTGCTGAGCCATTTCACTGGTCCGTTTTCTTTCTTTCTTTCTTTTTTTTTTTTAAGTCAATGTCAATTTCTTCTTCAAAATTTTTCCTGTTTTTACTTTTTAGACATTTCTCTTCAGGAATTAGCTGTCCTTTTTTACCTGATTTCGGTCTTTTTCTATTTCAATCTTCATTTGTGAAGTGACTGTTTTCCTTTTGATTTTTAGCCTTTCTTGAGTTCTGTCACCAGATTTCTGAGTTCTATTCTGGTTTATTTTATTCTCTTACTGTCTTCTAGCTTATCTTGAAATAGCAGGTCAGAATTTTCAACTATT